GAAAATAGTACATTTAGCTATAAGATAGAGGGAATATGATGTTTAAAAAGCTTAATATTAACTGGGATCACTGATGCATGCACTCTTTTCTTATTTCACATGTCATGCAACAAAACTAAAAAAGAAAAAGAAAAAAAAGGAGTTCAAGTTAATTACTTCAAAATATTCAGAATGTTTCACTCATACATGGCTGTCCAAAATACTTTCGGATTTTCCAAAAATGGGTTTCAACATGCACCCAGGAATATTTTTGAAGAGTCTGAACATAGGTTTCACTTATTAGAGCCCGTTTGGATTGGCTTATTTTAAGTGCTTTTAAGCCAAAATAGCTTTTAAGCCATTTAGTAGTGTTTGGATACAGTAAAAAAGTGCTTTTAAGCACTTGTTTTTAAGCTAAAATGACAAAAACAAGCTAAAAGCCAAAAGTTAGAAATCGTAACTTATGGCTTAAAAACTATTTTGGCTTAAAAGTTACTTAAAATAAGCTCATCCAAAACTCTTAGAGGGTGTTTGCCTAAGCTTATAAGCTGGTCAAACTGGCTTATAAGCACTTTTTGGCTTATCTACGCGTTTGGTAAAATTAAAAGTGCTTATAAGTTAAGTGCTTATAAGCCAAAAATAAGCCAAAAGCCATAAGTTGGTCTCCCCCAACTTATCAAATTTCAGCTTATAAACACTTTAAGTTTGACCAAAATATTTACTATTTTATCCCTAAAATACTTCTTTTTAGAACAAAACTCTTCGTATGCCCGGTTCTTTAGCTACATATTATGAATTTCAGCACTTTTATCCAAATACGTAAGTGCTTATTTTTTAAATCAGCTTCAGCACTTAAAAGTGCTTTTCATCACCTAATGCTTATCAGCTACTCTAAATCAGCTAAGCCAAACGGGCTCTTAGTATTGTGTTCCTTCGAAGCTCGGGAAGTTATTTGCATATTCAAAAGTAAGGTAGTTATATGCTAATCTAAATACGTACTGTAGGTTAAAGTTAATACTAGTGAATTTCGTTTCAGAAATATAAGTACTAACGTGCAATATTGGATCTAAAATCAGATAACAACATCACCTTCTCATTTTGGACATCAAGATATTATTCTCTCATTCCACTTTCACTTGTCACTATACAAAAAAATATATTTTTATTTTTATTTATTAATTTTAACAAATCAAGAGAAAAACAATATCACTTTTTTCTTATTTTACCTTTATTGTTAACTGCTAATTTTTCAAAGTATTTCACAAGATTGACTTTCTGAAATGTTATTTTATTCATTTTTTCTAAAAATAGTGCAAAATCAAAAGTGAACAATTAAAACTGAAAGGAGGAAGTAATATCTTAGTTAGACCAAAGATATTTTCATCATAAAGCCTAGCTAATTCCAAGTTCCAACTTCTTAGTAGTCATTTAATGAAAATAAAGGATGCTTGCGAGGAAAACAACAAAGGAATGTACTCCCTTTGGTCCACAATAAGTGACCAATTTACTTTTTAATTTTGATCCAAAATAAGTGTCCATTTATATAATCTAGAAAGAATTCAATTTATTTTTACAAGATTACCCTTATGTACATATCCCTAAAAGGTTTTCTTACTCCTCACATTAAATATTTAATTAAGGGTAGTTTAGTCATACTAGGTATTTTTGTATAAAATTTAGTATTTTCTTAATGGGCGTGCAAAAAGCAAATTGGTCACTTATTGTGGACCGGAGGGAGTAGTAAAGAACGAAGAATGTAAAAGTGCGCCAGCTGTATACATGCTTAATGGCTACTCACTCGATCTCAAATTATCCGTTGTGTTTCCTTTTTATGCGACCTTAAGAAACATTAATTAGAATGAATTTTTAATTATTTTACCGTTATTTATGACTTAATATTTAATTTTCTTATTGAATATTTATTCTATTTATATGCATTTTCATCTTCAACAGAGGCGAATCCAGGATTTCAAGAGGATGGGTGCACTATTGTGAAGAGGTGAATCTAGAATTTACATTTGACGTATTTAACTTTAGTCTCTTACCATAAACTCACTACACTTAAAATGATAGGTTCAAAATTATAACTTTTTTAAATTTTTAGTGATTTTCATGTATATATCTATGCTTTGTGCCAAAAACAAGACGGTCCGAAGTGAGATTTGAACCGCCAATTTTACTCGTAGGGGTGCACCCAGTAATTATTATACAATCAGACCTCTCTATAACAACATCCTTATATAACAACACTTCTCTATAAAAGCCAAATTTTTCCGGAACCAAATCTCATATTCTAATATAATATATGATTTTTATAACAGCAATTCGCTATAACATCTAAAAATATCCGGAACAAACGAGGTTGTTATAGAGAGATTTGACTATACCATAGGAGTTTTTGAGTATGGGTGCACACACATGCATATAGTTAAGTAATTTTGAATAAGTATAATATTATTATACATGGTTTAGGAAGAGGAGTATGGGTTCACGTGAACCCATACCCCAAGGCCTAGATACGCCTGTTATCTTCAAGAACAATTATTAATAAAGGTGAAATGAGGAAAAAAAGTTAATTTTATCTAGAACTTCTAAAATAACAAATAATTTGAGACAAATATTTTTAAAAATCACAATAGATAATTTGAGATAAGGGGTAGAATTTAAAGATCCCTATTATTAGTCGGGGAAAATTCATTTATAATTTGTCCTGAGTAGCACGTGAGACCATATGAGCATTTGCAGCAGCAGCACTTCTCTTCTCTGCAGAGGTAAAAATAAAGCTTATAAATTTGTTATATATATATATAGTGGCAAAAAGTTAAAAAAAAAAAAAAAAAATTACAGAAAGGAAAAAGAGAAAGAATTTTTTAAGGAACCTATGGATCTGTAGCTAGCTAGGGAGAGACTGAGACCCTAGGGAATAGTAGTAGGGGGAGGTGCAGAGGAGCAGGTTAATGTACGTGTGCAACTGCATATATATATAAAACTTCAATGTCCTTCAGATTTCTTTAGATGCCTCAGGCCTCAGACTTTTCTCTGCCGCTATATCTTTTAGCTACTGACTACATACTTACTTGGTTTTATAATAAAAGATGGCCAACCCCCTTATTATAGACCAATTGTTGTTAACTTAGGCTTACGTACGTAAGAGCCCCTTCCTTTATCCTTTTTCCTTTTAACAGTCACTGATTTCTGCAATTGTATTTAGCACCACCGCACGTGTATCACTATATATCTTAAGGGTCGTTTGGTACGAGGTATAAGAAGGTATAAGGGTGGTATAAAAATTTAATACCACCTTAATACTCTGTTTGGTTAGTAAATCAGGTATAAGTTATCCCGGTGTTAATTTCAACACTGGGATAACTTATACCTTATAAAAGGTGGGGTAATTAACACCGGTATAACTTATACCTTCTTCTTAGAAATTATGCAATTGTCATTCTTAATACAACATACCAAACAATGAATAAACAACAATCCCAGCATAACTAATCCCAACATAACTTATCCCAATATAATTTATACCGATATAAATCATATTCCAACCAAACGACCCCTTAGTGAGTTAATTTTATGTACCGACCAAATAACTACCTCTATCACTCTAATGTGGAAAAAGAAAAAAATAAGGGCAAAAGAAAAACTAAGCTAGCCAAAATGTATTCAAATTCTTTTGAAAAAAAAAAAAAATAGCCGAAATCTATGATCAAACGGATGCTAATAAATTTGATGAAATTGTACTAATAATTTATTGTTCGGTGATTTTCATTTCATCTTAACGTGCTTAATTGGTATCTATCGCTCATATAGCTTTGGATTCTTAGAGGATGGGCTTACCACTAGTTTGATAGTAGTATAAAAAAAATATAATAGATGAGCTCAACAAGGATCGATCCTGGTCCCTAGGAAAAAATTTCAGCTACTTAACCAATGAACCAACGCGACAAATCTAACCATGGGTTCACAAACGGTAGTGTTCAGAAAAATCATATAAATTATACACAAATTTACCCTTTGGTACACTGTAAATCCACCCCTGCCTTCAAACTATATTCCACCTTCAAATAAGAGTAAAACAGTACGTACTTAATCCTTTGATATTAATACATACATCATACCATATGCAATCTTCAAATAATTACGTACTCCCTCCGGTCCAAAATAAGTGATTTTTTTGGATGTTTTCGCACAGATTAAGAAATTCATCTTTTAACATTAATTAGCAATGGAATTGACCATATTAACCTTTACTATCTCACATAAACACTCCTAACACATATTCCAACACTATTTACTCCAAGAACAATGTAGGAAAAAAATAATTAATTCATTCTTGAAATCTGGAAAAATCACTTATTTTGGACCACAAAAAAATGATTAAAAAATCACTTATTTTGGATCGGAGGGAGTAGCTGTTTAAGAAGTAACAAAAAATATCACAAATTACAAAGAAGAGTATAGGAGAAAGATAGGGGTAGAGGTATGATATCACCCCACAATATATATAGCGTCCTTTTCCTAGTGTGCTATTTTATGTGTCTTTCTCTTCCTTCTGATTAACCCCATCATCTGAAATTTTCTGACTGCAACAGTCCCTCTATGTTTAAAAAAACATGCTCACACACGCACGCATAAATCTCTTCTACCAAACCAAAACCTTCTGCATTTACTAACCCCCTCTTCTCTACCAAAGAAATTCCACTCCTCACTAAGCCAAAATCTCTCGTTTTCCTAAATATCTGATTTTCTGCATTTTTCTTTTACCTATTTTGGAACCCGTTTCAGGTGGGGTTTCATAGTCCCTTTCAATCCCATTAATACTCACCACCACCACCCTCTTCTCCAATCCTTGTTTTCTCCACTTGTTCCATACTTTCTTTACTCTTCTCTTACTTCCCTTTCTCCCTTTGGTTTCAGTGCCTAATTTGTTTTCTTTTCTTTTCTCTTTTGTATATATATATATATATAATCCTCCACTTTCTAACCAGCTACTACATCAGTTAATATCATTCATCATGCTGTCAATGGAAGAAATATTATGTGAACTTAGTAGAGAAGACATGAATAATGACAAAGGTCTACCACCTGGTTTTAGGTTTCATCCTACTGATGAAGAACTCATCACTTTCTACCTTGCCTCTAAGGTTTTTAACGGCACCTTTTGTGGTATTCAGATTGCTGAAGTTGACCTCAACAGATGTGAGCCCTGGGAACTTCCAGGTAACACACACACACACACACATTCCCTTCATTAAATTCTTCTTTTGTTCATGTCCCAAAAAGTACAAGGAAAAAATAGTAGTAGTAACTCAAAAGGAAGCTGATGAAAAGTCTTTTTTTTTAACTCCTTGTCTTGAACATGGCTTTAAAGTATTGGAGTTTGTCTGTTGTAAACACATGTGATGGAATGTAGTCGTAGTATATATGGCAGACGTACTAACTGTTTTAAGATATTCTTCATTGCTTTGTCATGAGAAATATTTACTACTAGTAATATTTAAAATATATAATGAGAATATGAGAAGATTCTTGGCTAAAATACATTAATTGGAGATATTATTCTTGTCTAAAATAACTTTAGTCTTCTTCTTTTGCATGTGCATATGATATCTATCACCAAGAACGTTTTTCTGTGAAATTCCACTATTAATACGTACCTCACATCATTTATGATTTACCAGCTACGTTAAGTTCCTTAATAATACATGTCCTACTTTGGACCTATAAATTTCAGACATCTCTCTATTTTGTTACCTCATGTCATTTACTATGATTTTACCAGCTTCGCTAAGTTCTTAATAGTAGTAAGACATGTACTTGAAATATGTTGTCCACTGATTCTTAACCCTTTCCTAGCCATAGAATATCAGTAGGAGTACTATTTTCTTCTTTCCTTTCGTTTGTAAAAATGAAAATCTATGCATCTCCCTGTTGCTGCACAAAGTAATTAATATGTGTCAAATCTACCTCTATGATTATTTATTGAAACACAAAAAAAAATACAGTAGAACATATGTGGTTCATTAACTGAGTACTAGCTAGTTGTTATTGCGCTTATTAACATGAATGCGACTGTTAATAGTAATTTAATGGTATGTTTTAGTAATTTTGGAAGTGAAAAATTGCAGAAGTGGCAAAGATGGGGGAGAGAGAATGGTATTTCTTTAGCTTAAGGGATAGAAAATACCCAACCGGACTAAGAACAAACCGGGCAACAGGAGCTGGTTATTGGAAAGCTACAGGAAAAGATAGAGAAGTGTACAGTGCAACAAATGGAGCACTCCTTGGGATGAAGAAAACATTGGTTTTTTACAGAGGAAGAGCACCAAAGGGTGAAAAAACCAAGTGGGTTATGCACGAATATCGTCTTGACGGTGATTTTTCCTACCGTTACTCTTCTAAGGTAAACTTCTCATCCTTATTATTATTGACATATTTCGATTATCGAGAGGGAATAGTTAATTACTCCGTTGGTCATTAAGAAAAAGATTTAGAAAATTAAGCTAGCGTTTGGACATAGATTTAGTTGAAACTTGAAAAAAAAAAATTTGAAGTAGTTTTGAAAAATAATTTTTTGAAGTTGAAATTATGTTTGGACATGAATTTTATTTGAAAAAAATTTGAAGTTTTGTGAGTGGGAGAACAAATTTCACCCAAAATCTACCCTAAACTAGATTTTGGGAACTTGAAAAATAATTTCAAATTTTTTTCAAAAATAGATCATTAATCTATGAACAAACAATATTTTCAAAAAAGATTTGAAAAAATGGTGCCAAAATATATGGCCAAACGGGCCTAAATAATCCAGTAGAAGATTTAGAGCTTTATTGTACGTAGGGTCTGTAGGTTTTGTCCTTTTTAGGGTTGACTTGTTTAGTAAGTCTCGTGATATTAATTGATGTGATGTGGACTTGATTGATGGATGGATATGAGAAGGTGTTGTTATAGTACTCTAAAGATACTTGCCGACTCTTTTCACTTTGCTGATTCTTAGAAAACATAGTGAAAATCATCTTGGAATTTTATGTACTAATATTAATGGTTATAAAATGGTTATTTCATGTTCAAGGGGATTCCCGATTCCCTAACCTAATGTCACTTTCAAAACAATAGTTCTTGGTGCTTTGATAATGTCACTTGACATATATGTTTATTAGGTGCCTTTTACTATTAATAAGCAGGAATTAGCGACGGAATAATTTTGTAGCTAAATAGAAATTAGCAATGATTATAAAGAAATTTTGTTAGCTAAATGCGATTTGAAGAGTAATATAAGTAGTATAACCCGTCACCCGTCACGTAGGTGCTTTGATTAAAAAGAGTAGTATAGTGTCGCTTGAAATATGTGGTTACTAGGTGCTTTCACTATTAAAAACAGGAATTAGCGACGCATAAATTCTGTAGCTAAATATAAATTAGCGACAAATTATAAAGAAATTTTCTGTAAGCAACGAGCGATTTAGCAACAGATTAATGACGAAGTTCCTAGCTAATTCTAGTTCTTTTTGTAATGTAATTTGTTAAAAAGTTGTAATAAAATTGGCAGGAGGAATGGGTGATATGCAGAATACTACACAAAATAGGGGAGAAGAAAAATCCAATATACCAAGGTGCAGGACAAAACTATGGCTACCCTACAAGCTTGAAAACATGGCCATCATCATCATCTTTTCTTAACACAGCAGCAGCAGCAGCAGAAGCAGCTCCAAATCCTATATTGGCTGAAACACCAAATCCAAAAACCACAACAACTACACATTGTCAAGAATCATTCCAAATATCACAAAACTCAGTGCAATCACTGCACAACTTTTATCTATTTCACCACCAAGAAAACGACCTTATGAAATCCATCTTCAACCCCATTAATGTTTCCCAAACAAACCTCTTCCCAATAAATAATAATGTCCTTTCTTCTGCTACCTCTTTTTCTACACCCCAAAGCACAAAAAAATACAAAGAAGACATAAACAAAAACTCGTCACTATCATCTGTCCTCTTTAGTAATGCCCTTTACAGTTCAAAGAAAAATGAAAAACAACAAGTCTCACTAATGCAGGCTAACACAACAATGAAAACAGAAGCCAGTTTTTCACCATATTCTGGTTGTTACAATGACCAAAACCCTAGGCCTACAAATTTTGGTATGAATAATTCATCAGATTGGAGTTTAGTCGGCATAGAAGGGATGTATTTTAATGGTGGATGTACTCAGTCTCAGATGGTGTTGGATCACATGCATTGTCCCATCAAAATCACTGCAGAATCTTGGCCTCTCGATCTCTAAAAATAGAAGATTTTGTTTTTCCATATAATTTCTACAGTTATGTCATCCTCTATATAATTATGACTACTGTTATGTCATCCTCTATATATAGTTATCCGCTCTAGTATATGAAATCTTTGTAATTAATTCAGGCTAGCTGCTCTATTCTGAAATATGCTGCTTGCTCCTTAAGGATCTCGTACCGCTATGTAATAAGATATATCTTCCTTTTCTCGACTAATGTAAAGTTGTGATCTATTGATGGGAGTTTTATATATTTTTTCCATATTTTGTGTATTTAGTTTTTTTTTTTTAAAACTATGTTTGTTTGAATTTTGAGTTTTTTTTTTTTGCTAATAAAGAGAATTATATTAGAAATTAAGTAACGTAAGTGTTATAGTTATTACAAGCTAAGATTATTCGGATATTGAAAAAGTAGTTACCTCATCCGTACGTCTAAAATTTTGTAACATATTTCTAATTTGAAATATTTCAAATTCTTTATCACCATGTTATTCTTATGGAAGTTTCAACAACATTCAATAATTCAAACTAATTGAACAATTCAAAGTTCAGACTTTGAAGTGATAGATTTAGTAGGCGTTTATGGACATAAAAATTGTAATTTTTGATAAAAAAATAGTATATATTTGGAGTTAGGTTGAAAAATTATATTTAGAATTTGATATTATGTTGAATTTGGTGATTGGGAAAAGTTTTTGAAAAACTCATTCGATTATGGACAAACGGGGCCTTATATATTTAATAAATTTTAAACTACAGCAGTAGTATTTTTTATATTATACTTGTTTCCTATGTTTCAAAAGGATTGGCATTATTATTTTCTAATTAATACATTTCAAAAAAAATTAGCACATTCCTATATTTTTTAACGGAAGCGTTTATGGCTACATAAATGCTAGTATGATTTATTTAAAACCTTAAATTTCAAAAGTTTAATAGTCACACAAATATTAAAATATATTTAAAACCACACATTTGTAAGTTTTTTTTAATTATACTTATGTCAAGTCAAACTATTGACAAACAAACAAAAAGGCTGGAAGTATTATATAACTTAAAATGTTTACATGTAATATTTCTTACCAGTAAAATAGCATTACATAAATGGAACGAAAGAGAGCAGAAGAATTAAAGATTTTTTTTAAACCCAAAAAAAAAAAAAAAAATAAAAAGGTTGAGTGGTCCAACTCAAAATAAGTCTAAAAAGGAAGATTTAGCTAAAGAGTTAGGTTCCCGTCATGAGTCATGACTATTGATGAGATGGAAGCTGTTGGCTGGCTTTTGATGATGTCATTTGATTTAAGGAAGATTTAATGGGTGAGTATATGGGACCCGACCCGTCACTTCCGGCAATGATTTCTAGGCAAATGGTGATGTTTAACTCAAATAATTTTGCAATCCTCGCTAGATCTTCTTTTTCGAATGCAGAATATGTGTCGTTAGAAGTTGGTGTAAATATTATATTGAGTGTTGTTGGTTTTTTAAGCGATTAATGCTTAAAATAGGGTGAATGGGAAATGGAGGGAAAAATAAAATATTTGAGTTTCCCTCCTTGATTGTCCCATATGGGAAGAAGAAAAGCTTTTTGATAGGTATATAAGCAATTGCTCTTCTTCTAGCTCATAAAGAGTTGAGAAGAAGGCAAGGCTCGCGCCGCCGTCGTCGTCGCTCGCTCAGCTTCGGCTTCGTCTTCAGTCAAATGATCGATCGATTGATTTTTGGATCAAATTTATTTGTTAATAGTAAATATTAACAGAAGTGTTATTAAATATTTGGTTTAATAACAAAATATTAATATTAAAATAAAATCCAACTTTGGCTATAAATACAAGCCCATTCTCTCAGATTTTCCATACGAATTTTCTGGAGAAAATCTCACTTTATGCCCATTAATTCCAAACTATTTACCCTTTAATGCCCAGATCCAAACTATTTACTACTCCTACCCATACTCCCCAAACTATTTACCCGCTAGTTTCACTTCCTATATATCTGCCCAAACATTCCCTTCGTGTTCATCGCACATTAATCATCAGCCAAAACATCAGAATTTATTTATTCTCTTCCTTCTAATTTCCCGGCCATTGTTCAGTTCTTTCTCATTTTATTGCACTACAAAATGTCTAAATTATTTGCTATTGCAGTTCTTCTATTTTTTATGTTAAATTCCGTCAATTCTCAAATCACAAAAGCACCTTCTCAAGCCCCAATATCTTCTCCTTCTAAATCGCCCCAATAATCTGGTAACAAGTTTATATGTTATAGTAAAGTTTTCTAGATCTAAATTTTTGTGTGTATTTGAATATCCATCATTGTTGGGCTTGAAGCTCAATTTTATTTTTAAAGATTTCTTGTTTGATTCAAAGTGGGTGCTGTTAAATATTGCTTATAGTACCTTCTGAAAGTTCATACTGAAATTTGATAGCATTTGGACCTGATTTGAGGTGATTGAGATCGAAATTTTCAGTTGAAAATCGAAGAAGAACACAGCTACAGTATACCGCTACGGTATACAATATGGTGTAGGAGTATATAGCTACACTGCAATACTACACTATTATAGTTTACAAACAGTACACCGCTACAGTATACTAATATATTATAGAAGTATATCGTTATACTGCAACAGTATACTATTATAGTATACAATATATTGTTATGGCGTACTGTAATAATATGCAAGATACTGTAACAATATGCTGTAATAGTATACAATATTCTATAATAGTATACTTATTACCCGTAAATTCACTTGCCTTTTCCCTTTTAATTTGTTTTAAGCTTTTACCCATCGTGAGGGGCAAATTGAAAATTCAAAATAAAAATAAAAATTATAGTATGCTATATGAAGTAATGGTATACTCTTACAATTAGGTCCTTTTAGAATTTTTAAATTTTTTTATTGACAACTGATATTATTTTAGTTTAATAATTGAATTAATTTTTTTTAACTCATTGCGTGCAATTATATACCCTGTTGGTATAGCTATATACTATACTAGTATCATATGTTAGTTAATATTTTTTTAATTGTATTAGCTACATTTAATTGGTACACAATTTGATTTTTTTTAGTAATAATATAAAAAAAAAGAATAATAAAAAATAGTGAAAACAGTAAATGAAATTAGATTATGAAGAGAAAAGGAATATAAAAAAAAAGAAGTTAAATAAAATTAGAAAAGGAAAAAGAAAAAAGAAAAAGAAAACGAGAAAAAGAAAAGTAGAAAAGAAAAAAAAGAAAAAAAAAAGAAGAAAAGAAGCATAGAAATAAAAAAGAATTGTAGAATAAAGAAAAAATTCCCCACAAAAACTATTATGGGTAGGAAATGTAATTAGTTTATGGGTAGAAAAACAAATAGGCAGACAAGGGTAAATAGTTTTGTTTTTGTGGGTAGCTGTGTCAAAACCCCTTAAATAAATAAGTCTTAATCCATTGGGCTAGCCCATTTAATTGGGCTAAAGTGATGAGCCTACTTCATTAAGCCCAAGATGTCATCTTCCTAGAGGCCCAGTTTGGTGTCACGTGTCAAATGACGTGGCACGCCAAGTCAAGCGGAAGAGCCAATAGGATCATGCCATGTATCAAAATGACAAGGCATGCCAAGTCACATTAAAAGGCCAATAAAATCGTGCCACATGTGCAAGTGACATGTTCTGGCCAATCAAATGCGGCCATGTCACACTTCAATTTGATTGGTCGCAAAGAGTTTGTTCTTACACAACTCCTCCCTTCCACAACTATAAATAGGGGTCTTCATAACCCAGAAAAGACACCAGAAGTTATAACAAGAAGCAAGAGAGAGCTCGTGGATCTAACGCCGTAAATTTCTCTACAAGTTTCAAGCTTCAAGCAATCAAATTCAAGTTCAAGAAATCAAGTTCAAGCTCAAGAACGAAGAACAAATCAAGGTCAAGGTCAAGTTCAAGCAACCAAGCTCTAGCTCAAGAACAAGATCATCGTTCGTGGCGACAACTACATATTCAAGATCAAGCTCAAAGGCCCTTGAATTTAATTACAATTGGAAAGAAGAATCAGAGGATTCATAGAGATTGTACACTCAAATATTCGAAATAAAATACTACGATTGTTGCGATATTTTCGGTCTTGATTTTATTTTCTCAACGCAAATTTATTGTCTACACTGTTAAAGGTCTATTTGGATAGTTAATTACTGAACGTAAATTTCCTTTGGCCAAATATAAAATATTTGGTTTGTTGCTACATATATATTGTATTTTATTTAATATTGTCTAGTTATGAAGCTTGCCCGAAATAATAGGGCAAAGATCACTTTTATAGCCCGCGACTGTCACACCCATTTTTTTTACCCTAAAAAGATACGTATCATGGATTGTTGTGGGTTAAAAAAAAAAATTTTATTTGAAGTAACGAACTTGAGTAGGGATTATTTTATTTAAAGAGTCGCCACTTGAAATTGATTATTTGGTGTTCCAAGTCACCTTTTATTTGAATCCCTAGTCAAAGAAATATTTGACTCTATTTTTATCGGTCCAAAAAATAAAGTTCGGGCAAGAAGTTCTGTTGACCGGGGAAAAGGTGTAAGGCACGGTCGCTTTCTTGACTAAAAAATAGCTTGAATTAATTTAAGACAAACTATGTTTTATTGGTTTCCATGTTTTACCTGTCCGCTTAATTCTTAACTATTAGAAATATTAAAGAATATTTTGAATAATAAAATGTCATAACCACGCTACGCAAGCGAATGCGTGATCAAGACGAAATTTATTAATTTTGTCATAACAGTGCTACGCAAGCGAATCGGCAGTCATTACAAAGGGTTATTAGTACGTTATTACTTTTGAAAAAAATTACTACATTTGAGGAAATTAATTTTGAAATTTATTAATTATCAACTATCGCGCTATGCAAGCGAATTCACGATTAGCAAGGGATTAGGAAATTAATTAAAAGCTGATGAATATGGTGTTAGATTATTCAATTAAAGAATGTGTTAACATCACGCTACGCAAGCGAATCCGTGAATGAAAAAGTTAAAGCGTGCCTACTAGTTACTTAACGTTGAAACAAAATAATTAAGTTATCAAAAAATTATTT